ATATACTTTCGAAACAGAAATACAAAAAATTAAGCAGGAACTTTTAACAAGTAATTTAGACTGTAGTGCGAAAGATGAAACAAATGAACAGTATCTTTATGAAATGCAGGACATTATTGACCATTTACCTAAACTACCTGAAATCCAACAACAAAAACTAACTATTCCTGAATTCGACGAAATTGAAGTCAAAGCAACTGACTCAGTAGAAATAAAGAAGTTCATACGTAAAGTAAATTATGAATTCCTTGGTTTTCATTGCAACCATAAAGTTATGGACAAAGATTGCGATATGGTATATAAGAATGTTTCTGACATATATAAATCTGAAGAATTTAAGACCTACGACAACTTTGTTTCGTTAGTTGCTGAATGTGTTTGGGAAATAAGAGATAAAGATAGAAGAGGCAAAGTATGGAACGAACAACTAAGACCCGCTATGTTTGAGATGAAGAGAGCAATTGACGCTTTAGTTGTTCTAGCAGGTCAAATTTCAATGTATAATGCAAAAATGAACCCGCAATGTTCAAAATGTAAAGCAGCAATAAGGAAATATAACTACTCCGTCAAAGAGATAGAAAGAATGAGAAACGACTATGCAGATTTAAAGAAAGAAGTAGAAAAGCCAGCAGAAGATAAAATGGACATGTTAGCATTTCTGAACAAAAACTATCCAACAGTAGAAGATTTCCTTCTATCTGACGTCAAGAAGAAATATAAAGAGACTTTCGGCATTGTTAAAACTTTTGATATCCTCAGCGAAGAAATAGAAGCTACAAAACTGTTTAGGATTTCAAATATACATCGTACAATTCATGTAAAACGCTTGTGAAAAAAGAGGTGAAAAATTAGGTGAAAAAAGAGGTGAAATCTCACCTCTTCACCTAAATTATATTTTTGGTCATTTACACTCATTTACGAAGAAGTCATGACAAAGCATTTACGAAGAAATCTTGACAAAGTCAAGACCCTTTGGGTCTCGCCGCTTAGCGGCTGATGTGAAAAATTAGGTGAAAAAAGAGGTGAAATCTCACCTCTTCACCTAAATTATATTTTTGGTCAAAGCTTCCACGAGAGAAAAGATTCCTCATTTGCTAAGGATTCCAAAAATGAAAAAATCGTTGATTTCGGCTGAGAAAAAACGGCAAAAACCCTTCTTCCACGGGAACAAAGAAATAAAGAAGAAATAAAGTAAATTTTTTATTTATTCCCGTGGAAGATAGAGCACTTTTATGACACTTTTTATTCACGACAAACAAGACAAACAAAGAAAATAAGAAAATACGGCGCTGTCGCGGTTCGAACCACAGACCCTGACCCCTCCATAACACCACCTTAGACCACTGTGCTACCATGTTACCATTTGCTACCAGGTCATTTAACTTCTCTGAAAAAATGTGACAACATGACATTTTGACAACAACACAGGAGGAAGGTAGTTATGACTTATTTTTGAAGAACTGAAGGTGCTACCATGTTACCATGTGCTACCAGGTCATTTAACTTCTCTGAAAAAATGAGACAACAGTCACTGTGTGACGAGACCTGAAGGTCTTGACATTTTGACAACAGTTCAGGAGGAAGGTAGTTATGACTTATTTTTGAAGAACTGAAGGTGCTACCATGTTACCATGTGCTACCAGGTCATTTAACTTCTCTGAAAAAATGAGACAACAGTCACTGTGTGACGAGACCTGAAGGTCTTGACATTTTGACAACAGTTCAGGAGGAAGGTAGTTATGACTTATTTTTGAAGAACTGAAGGTGCTACCATGTTACCATGTGCTACCAGGTCATTTAACTTCTCTGAAAAAATGAGACAACAGTCACTGTGTGACGAGACCTGAAGGTCTTGACATTTTGACAACAGTTCAGGAGGAAGGTAGTTATGACTTATTTTTGAAGAACTGAAGGTGCTACCATGTTACCATGTGCTACCAGGTCATTTAACTTCTCTGAAAAAATGAGACAACAGTCACTGTGTGACGAGACCTGAAGGTCTTGACATTTTGACAACAACACAGGAGGAAGGCATTTATGAATTATTTTTTGAAGAACTGAAGGTGCTACCATGTTACCATGTGCTACCAGGTCATTTAACTTCTCTGAAAAAATGAGACAACAGTCACTGTGTGACGAGACCTGAAGGTCTTGACATTTTGACAACAGTTCAGGAGGAAGGTAGTTATGACTTATTTTTGAAGAACTGAAGGTGCTACCATGTTACCATGTGCTACCAGGTCATTTAACTTCTCTGAAAAAATGAGACAACAGTCACTGTGTGACGAGACCTGAAGGTCTTGACATTTTGACAACAGTTCAGGAGGAAGGTAGTTATGACTTATTTTTGAAGAACTGAAGGTGCTACCATGTTACCATGTGCTACCAGGTCATTTAACTTCTCTGAAAAAATGTGACAACAGTCACTGTGTGACGAGACCTGAAGGTCTTGACATTTTGACAACAGTTCAGGAGGAAGGTAGTTATGACTTATTTTTGAAGAACTGAAGGTGCTACCATGTTACCATGTGCTACCAGGTCATTTAACTTCTCTGAAAAAATGAGACAACAGTCACTGTGTGACGAGACCTGAAGGTCTTGACATTTTGACAACAGTTCAGGAGGAAGGTAGTTATGACTTATTTTTGAAGAACTGAAGGTGCTACCATGTTACCATGTGCTACCAGGTCATTTAACTTCTCTGAAAAAATGAGACAACAGTCACTGTGTGACGAGACCTGAAGGTCTTGACATTTTGACAACAACACAGGAGGAAGGCATTTATGAATTATTTTTGAAGAACTGAAGGTGCTACCATGTTACCATGTGCTACCAGGTCATTTAACTTCTCTGAAAAAATGAGACAACAGTCACTGTGTGACGAGACCTGAAGGTCTTGACATTTTGACAACAGTTCAGGAGGAAGGTAGTTATGACTTATTTTTGAAGAACTGAAGGTGCTACCATGTTACCATGTGCTACCAGGTCATTTAACTTCTCTGAAAAAATGAGACAACAGTCACTGTGTGACGAGACCTGAAGGTCTTGACATTTTGACAACAGTTCAGGAGGAAGGTAGTTATGACTTATTTTTGAAGAACTGAAGGTGCTACCATGTTACCATGTGCTACCAGGTCATTTAACTTCTCTGAAAAAATGAGACAACATGACATTTTGACAACAGTTCAGGAGGAAGGTAGTTATGACTTATTTTTGAATAACTGAAGGTGCTACCATGTTACCATGTGCTACCAGGTCATTTAACTTCTCTGAAAAAATGAGACAACATGACATTTAGACAACAACACAGGAGGAAGGTAGTTATGACTTATTTTTATTTTTTTATTCCTATATAAATGACAGCAACAAACAACAACGGCAACTTTATCGTTTCTGATGAAAAAGTTATTGATTCATTAGCTGAGGAATTAGTTGTGGCAGAAACTAAAACCCTCAACGAAAGAATTGGTGAAAACAAGATTGATTTACATAACTACCTCAAACATGATGGAGGAAGAGGAAGGAAAACTGGTATGGCTTTATTAGTAAATAAAATTTCGAATTTAACGATTATAGATGTTGATATCAATAAATCATACGATGATGAACTTAAAGAAACAGTTAGAAAAGACATTTTATCAAAACTTTCGGATAAAGATGTTATCGTTAAAACTGCTTCAGGAGGTCTTCACATTTATTGCAACACTAATTTCTTCTATTCAGTTTCGAACAGAATGATTAAATGTTATTCCTGCAATGATTATGATATTGATATAATGACTTCTATGGATGATTCAAAGCGTTCTTTAGTGGTTATGGCTGATTCAAGAGTTCGCAAGAATGCAACAGAACCAATCAAAACATACTCATTCATTCGTGGAAGTTATGATTCAACATTAACCAGAACAGTGAATGATATATTAAATGATTTGAATATTAAGGTAAGAGTTGAACAGAAGAATGAAGAAATAAAGAGTATAATGAATGAAAACAAAGATGTAAACATTGACGATAAACTAGCTCAGAGCATAGTTGATGGCATCAGTGATTTTGAAGTACATAATGACGGTGGAAACATGAATTTGGAAAAAGAAGTTACATTATTCACACTGTTTCAAGCTATTAATTCGTTACCTAATCATTTAATTAATGAAGCATACGATAACGTTTATAACTTCTGCAATTTAACTGAAAATGCAAAAAGTAATTTTGAAAAAGCACGTAATAGATATGCACATTTAATGACTTCTCCATTTGTTTTGGTGAAGATTCTAAAACTATATCAAAAGGAATATTATGATGAATACGTTTTACCTTTATTACGTAAGCCAAAAATAACATTTGATATAAAACTTGATGACTCGTTTTTGATAACAGATATTAGACGCAAGGCTGAAAATCATCAGTATAAAAACAGTTCTGAAGTAATTGAGGATTTATCACGTGTAATCCGTTTTGTAGATTGTGGAAATAAATATTTCATTCAAAAGGACTATAATATCCACGACAAAATGAATCAAATATCATTTGTTCTTCAATCAAACATGAAAGAGTCACTTAAAATGATTAAATTATTTAAAGAAGAAGGTAAAACAATAACAGCATGGGATGTACTACTAAATCAATTATCCTCATTAACCGTTAAGGGTGTTTGCTTTAAATCTGATTCCCCCGATGTTTTCTCAACGTTTCATGGTTATAAATACAACATTCTTGAAAAGCCTGATTACTCAAAAATTGAGATGTTTATGAATTTCATTAAAGAAGCCATTTGTGATAATAACGATGAAGTGTATAAATACCTTCTCGGCTGGATTGCATCAATGATTCAACATCCTGGAATCAAGAATGAAACAGCAATTATTTTGAAAGGACTTCAGGGAACAGGTAAAAACAGATTCACAGACATTATTTCTGAACTTCTCGCTGGTTATTCATGTAAAAACATTACCGAAATAAGTGAGCTAACGGGTAATTTCAACTCAGTTGTTGAAAATAAAATGTTTCTTGTACTTAATGAACTCAAGAATGTTGGTGAAGACAGACTCGCAAACTTCAACGCTTTGAAATCAATTATTACGGATAATGAGATTAGAATTAATGAAAAGAATCAACCCAGAAGAACAGCTCAGAACGTTGCAAACTTCATTTTCGTAACTAACAACGTCTACCCTGTCAAAATTGAAGTTGGAGACAGAAGATACGTAGTTTTAAGAGTTAATGGTAAATTCAAGGGTCAATTTGATTACTTCAAGAATTTGATGAATTCATGCACTAAGGAATTTTATGATAATTTACTGACGTATTTTATGCAATATGACCTTTCATCATTTAATGTACGAATCATACCGATGACTGAAGCCAAACAAGATTTAATTGAATTATCATCAAATCCTTTAGATGTATGGATAAATACACATTATGATGAATTGTGTGCAGGTATGACGTGTGAAAATGCTCTATTCTGCAAACCATCAGACATGAAAGACAAAAACTTTCAAATGAGTATTAAGGATAAATGTGATAGGAAACATAGAAGAATAGACGGTAAACAAACATGGTATTATGTTTTGAAAGAAGAAATGAAAGGATTATATAAACAGGTTGAACCAAACGATAATGAGGATTCATTTACTGACGATGAAATACCTGTAAATGAGCCGCTAAGCGGCGAGACCTGAAGGTCTAGCTTTATAAAGTATGATTTGAATTTATTTTTGCATTAATCCTGAACTGTTGTCAAAATGTCAAGACCTTCAGGTCTCGTCACACAGTGACTGTTGTCACACTTTTTCAGAGAAGTTAAATGACCTGGTAGCACATGGTAACATGGTAGCACCTTCAGTTCTTCAAAAATAATTAATTTTGAATAACCTGTGTTGTTGTCAAAATGTCATGAGTTAAATGACCTGGTAGCACATGGTAACATGGTAGCACCTTCAGTTCTTCAAAAATAATTAATTTTGAATAACCTGTGTTGTTGTCAAAATGTCAAGACCTTCAGGTCTCGTCACACAGTGACTGTTGTCACACTTTTTCAGAGAAGTTAAATGACCTGGTAGCACATGGTAACATGGTAGCACCTTCAGTTCTTCAAAAATAATTAATTTTGAATAACCTGTGTTGTTGTCAAAATGTCATGAGTTAAATGACCTGGTAGCACATGGTAACATGGTAGCACCTTCAGTTCTTCAAAAATAATTAATTTTGAATAACCTGTAACCATTAACGTAACCATTTATTTCTGCAGTTCATTCATTACTTCATTACCTAATTAATTACAGACATAAAATATATTTAGTTCATTCATTGAACTCTATACCATGTGAATACAGTCATAAATGGCGGCATGTAATCTTTACTTTGTCCCGTTGTTTGTGTATATCCTGAAAGCACGTGTTATATACATAGATGTTATGCCAATGTACTTCTCTTCATTTATGTTCACAATCCAGTCTGTTGGAAACTTAAACGTTACTCTGTTCCCCTTTATTTTGACGTCAGGGTTTTCACTACTGAACGCAACAGTTAAAGGTATTTGTCTATACATTTAATTCGGATAAAAATAAACCATTTACTCTTTCTTTGCTTCAGCTTCTTTAGCTTTTGCTTCAGCTTCTTCTCTAGCTTTCTTCGCCAGCAAACGTGGGTTCTTTTGTCTTCCAGCAGCTAATGCAGCAAGTTGTTTTTCACTAAGTTTTCTCTTTGGTCTCTCTGGCTCTTGTTTTTGTTCCTTCAGTTCGGATAAAATTTGCTCACGAATTTCTTTCTTCAATGCTTCAACATCTATGACCCCTGGGTCTTGTCCGTAGAGCTTGTCTGAGTCATTTGACTGCAGATAAAAAACAAAATTAAAACTTTAACCGATGTAAAATGAGCTTGTCAAAATCAGAGCGAGAGTCATATTAAATGACGCAAGAGGAATACAACATCCTTTCTATTACGTAAGTCAGAGTAAAGATGGTAAAATATACGTAAGAAAAAGAAAGGTTCCATTAGCGAATGCAGAGAGTGACAACATTAAGGTGCATAGCACCGAGGGTGAAGCCCATATAAAACCTTCTATTCAAACTGAAAAGTCAATAGAACAAGAAAAAAGAAGCCAGATGTACTTTCAAAACGAACCAAGAGCTTATTGCAAAGTTCGTGAATTTCATTGAAAAACAAACCGAGTCAAAGAATCCTGACCCGCCAGTGAAAGAAGTTGAGACAAAGAGAATGTACAGTTCATTGAAAATGTCAAGAAACAACTTCCACCACGAATGCCAAGAAGAGTGAGAATAATGAAGTAAATAGATATTTTTATCCGAAGTAAATACATGCAGAACGAACAGTTAAACGAATTTACTCCAGCAGAGCATATTCATCAGATTCGCTCATATTTCGATATCATAGACAATGCAGTTCAAATTGGTGACACTAATAGAAAATATTCTGACGCAAAGATTCCATCACAACCTGGAACTGCTAAAGATAACACATGGGTAACATTCAATCTCTCACCTCCTGGTGAAAATATGTTGGACCTTTACAATACATTCATTACGTATAAAATGGAAGGTCAATTTATTGCAGATAAAGAAATTGGTTCAGGTTCCAATAAAACAAACCCACCAGGATTTTGGATTGGTTTCGATGACGCTTTCTATGCAGTTGCTGGATATCAAATCCTTGCAAATGGTCGTATCGTATATTCTCAAGACAACGCAAGAGAAGAAGCATATATAACTTCAAACTCACAAACTACCGAACAAATAAAGAAAGTAGATGTTTTCTCAAAGACTCGACATGAAGATGTATGGAGTCATTCGGGAACATGCAGAACAGGACAAATTGTTAGTGGTCCAATTACAGCAGGAAAATCATTTGATTTTAAGCTTCGTTTAAGAATTCCTGTTAGAAGATTCCTTCCATTAGAAGCTATTCGATTTATTCCAGCTTTTGCAGGAAACATTCAGCTTAAAGTAAAGTTCAGTAGCGACGCCTTACAATGCACATCTATATCTGTAAATGATATCATTGCTTTCAATCCAACTCTTAAAGTTGCATTTGCTTCAGATTCAAATCCACCGACAAATAAATTTGTTCCATGGAATGAACCATTCACTATGATAACGAAGGCAGTAGAAGCTAGTGGAACAGTTACTATTACAACTGTAACCCAGCAACTATTTCGAACAAAGATGGATTTTAATGAATGTTTCATTCATCCAAAATCATTCTCTTTAGACCCTAACATTTATACAGAACTTGTAGAACATTATACAAACGAGGCTTTATGTTTTCCTGTTAAAGTTATGGATTGGATTCCTATGGACGGTTCATTCTCATAGAATACAGATAGTTCAAGTGCAACATTTACAGCAGCTTATACGCCTATTAATGTTAAAAGTATTTGGGCACTATTTAGAAAGAAAGACAACTATTATGTTAATTTTTGAGAACCCTAAGTTTAAATATCTTCAGCTTTCCATGGGAGCTTATGGAAATATGCCTGCAGAACCTGAAAAATCATATGGACCTGTATTTTATGAAATGGTTGCGAACGCCTGCAATACAAACAATGATATGATAGGATTTAATGAAGATGTTATGAGGTCATTGGTGGATGATGGTAGTGTGGAACATAAATGGGATAGCTATGACAACACACATTTCTTATGTGGTTTTCCAACAGAAGTGGACTTTTGCTTCCAGCAAGGTCAAACATCTACTGCTCCAATAACATACAAATTGTCTGTTAAAGGACCTATTGAACTAGCAACTGAAAATGTACCAAAGCCACTTATTGGATTTATGAGGGATTGTTGCTTTGCCATTCAGGTGCGTACTAATGGAATCCCAATAATAAGATTAGATGACTATAACTTAGCTACGGACGACAGTGAGGAATAAAGGATGAACGTTTATTTTTAAAGCTTATAAATGAGTTCTTCATCAAGCTCTCGTGAACCTTCACCATCTATGAAACAAACTTTACCAAACGATTATGGAGCACCTATTGAATATTTCTTACGAGCTGCACAATGGCAAAGAGCAGTCTCACCAAGGTTAGGTGTTCCACCAGCTCCTGTCAAAAATAGCATTTGGTCAAGTCCTTATATAAAATATGGTCTCCCACTAGGTTTGCTAGCTACAGCAGGAGCAGTTATGATGTTGAAAAGAAATAAAGCAAATGTTGTAAATAATACTGAAGTAGCTGAAGTTAAACAAACTCCAACACCTTCACAAGCAAAACCTTCAATGACTCCTGAACCTATGGAAGTACAAACTCCTGTTCAAAAGTCAACTCCTAAACCGACTCCAACATTTAAACCAGAACCTACTCCTCAAATAAATCGTAAAACTCCTGCGTTTCCTTACTGAAAAATAACGTTATTTTTATTTAATATTAAAATTTTTATTTGATTGAAATGACGACTAAAGTCACTGAAGCAATGAAACAAAAGTTTTTGGTAGAATACATTAAATCAGGAACTATTCCAGAAGGTTTTTACATTCATACTATGAAAGATGGTAGAGTTCAGTTTAGAAAGATAAAGCAACCATTAGATAAAGAAGGAATTTTGAGAAAGATTAAATTACATGAAGACAACATTGCTGAACTTAAGAAGAAGTTAGAAGAGTTGGATAAAGGAAGAGAGTTATAAAGCAATGAATTCAAGTGGGTGAAAAAAGAGGTGAAAAAAGAGGTGAGATCTCACCACTTCACCTAAATTTATTTTTGTGCTATGTTTTCATACGTGTGAGGGTGGTGATATCATTAATTTTTTATTTTATTTTTAAGTTTACTGAAATTTTTTATTTGGATGTAAATGACAGAACAAAAGCAACTCATTCGAATTCCACAGTATAACAAACATACATTTAAACATTTATTCTTCCTTCCTGAGCATAACATGTTCTTTCAAATACATCCGAGACCAGTTGACTTTTCATTGACTGTGTATAAAGATAGAAATAGTTATATCATTAAACCATACGATGACGAAGGTAAGTTATGTAAATTGTACGTTAAGAAGTTAGAGAAAGTTTATGGCTTCAAGTATGACTACAATAGGGTTAACACTGATGATGAAGATATTGAGGAAAATTTATGAGAACATTAGTGAAGTCGTTAGTGAGAACGATAGTGAGAACGTTTATTTTTACATTAGTGAGTTCGTTAGTGAAGTGGTTGGCGGCTTTGTAAATATTTAAGGTTAAGTTAGTGTTGTCGTTTGTGTTGTCGTTTGTGTTGTAAAATATACGTTAATGGTTTTGTAAAGTGTCAAATTCACAAGTATTGGGTAAGGTGGAACGCAGTGCCACAGAGTTAGTATCCCTAAGTCGTGTACTGTGGCACTGCGCGCCTCCGTACACCACTTAGCGGTTTTGACACTTTACGAAACTGGTAACGTATATTTTACAACACAAACACAAACACCAACTTAACCTTAAATATTTACAAAACTATCTGACACATAAACGACTTCACTAACGACTTCACTAACGAATTCACTACCGTCCTCACTAAATAAAAATAACCTTATTTTTATTTTTTTAAATTTTTTATTTCATTACAAAGACATGTCTGACTACATTTACTATGACTCTTTCCCAGAACGTTTCCGTGAACTATTCAAAACTCAAGTAAAACTGAGAAACATGCATTTTAACAAAGACAGACCCATTGATGATG